TGATCGGCAGCAATAATAAAAAAATTGAACGAAATAAAAAATGGCCTTTTTTTGATAAAGTGAGTTCAAAATATCGGTTAATTTCATTTTCGACGATATTTCAAATTTTATATAAAAAATTCTGTGAGAATAAAATAAACAAAACTTATGTCCGTCAATGGCCCATGTACAGGGCTACACCCGCATAGTATTTAGTAAGTGACAGATATAATAACTCATGAGGTACAAGGCTCTGAAGATGTCACCGGTTCGTCAAAGAGACGACGTTTGGCATTTTTTACCTCAATAAACAAAGCTACAAAAGTATTTTCCTTTAAACTAAAAAATAGTCCAAAAAACATACAAGAACACAAAGAATTACTGTGAGTTTTGTATGCTTTCGCTATTCATACCAGCGTACAGAAGTGGGTAGAAAAATCGCGGAGTAAAAAACAGATTTTCACCCTGCTCCACTCAATAATTTTTTGTGAAGCGAAATATGCTTTAAAAAATTTTGGAAAGCAGTTTTGTTATTTCCAAAAATGGGGCAATTACATATATTAAAAAAAATCAAAAGACCCACCCCGACAAGCGTGTTCGATTTCAAATGAAACCACCCATGCAAACAATCCATCCCGATACCGTACGGGCTGCTTCGATCAGAGCTCAGACCGCAGAAGAAAGTAAGCTGTAATGCGGCGCTAAAAAGGTGACATCAAGGCGATTTTAGCGCAAGTCATCGCCATCTAATTCCATCTAGCTTTTTCTATGCACTCTGCAATACTTATTCATTATTATGCTTAGACTACGTTTTGTTATTTTTTAATTACTTTCGAAATAATTGCTTGATAACTGTCGAATAACTTTTTTTACATAATTTTCTCCCCATAAAAACAAACAAAAACAAGAGGTAATTTGATGCCACCGCTAGATGTACACACAATCGAAAAGTGTCATTTCCGTATCTTTGATAGCTTTCCTGCGGTCTCCTTGTTTATGCCTGCATGCTCAACATTCTATTATGGTGCATATGCAGGCATTTTCAAGGGCTTTCATAAATATAGGTACGCAAAGCAGGGACTCAAACCGTAACCGTAACCAAAACCGAAAACCATTTAGGAACGAAAATTTTCAGTAACCATAACCGTAACCATAACCGTAACCGTAACCGTATAGTATTTACCGGTAACCGGTTTTAACCAATATTAACCGAAAAATAAAAAAAATAAAATTCTCAGGTATGACCTGGAGGAGGGATCTTGAATTATCGTGGCAATTTGACAAAGTTACTTTCAGCGAGTGGTGCATCTGGGAATACATTTCCGTTCAATCTAACTTTAGGATTAAGGATACCTAGTTGGAATCAGTGGTCGTGCTTATAATACAAACGTCTCTATCTCTAAATTTGTCACATTCCTATATCGCTACATGTATCAGTATGTGTCGCTTTCAGTGTAATAACTAATAAGTTAGAATTCTCTCAGATGTCCATCCAGTTCGGTTCTATAAAAACCACCGATGTTCCTGACATACAGTAGCCAGTATGAACCCTTACAGAAATGTAATATCTGGACTTATATTAAAAATACAGATATGGATATATAAGGAATTGGGCAGATATGGCCAGATATGCACAATCAGGCCATATCAGGATGGATATAGCCATATCTGCCCAATTCCTTATATATCCATATCTGCCCAATTCCTTATATACCATATATAGACTGCTTTATATGATCCCGTGTTCGGGTCTGGTAGATAGGGTACCCACCCCATATAAAGAAATTTCCAATGATGCTCCTCCTGGCATCACATGAAAATTATTGCCATGGGACAGTTACCATACTTTCCAGGTCCAGACATGGGATCATATAACGCATTTCTATGAGTATCCGCAAAATATACATCGTATTGCTATCCCACACTGCCCCAAACGTGTGTTCACGTAGATATATCTACAGAATAGTCCACTGACCAATCTTTATTGGCCTGGTTTGGAATTTGTCATTCAACAAATATGTATGCCACAAAGATAGAATGTAGGCAATCACTAGTTAGAAAACATTGTAACATATCATTCGACGTCGGAAAGTCACAGCCCTTTGGCGGGATTGGTTGTCGAGAGAGCAGACCGAGAGTATGGTTTGCAAATGAAGTTTTATACAAGAAAGCGTGAAAACTCCAAACAAGCACTTCCCTGTTCAAGAAAAAATTATAAGGAACAGAACTGTAATATCACACCGACAACCATTAAAATAAACTAAAAATGTATCAGCACACAGACACCTATTAAAATAAAACAAACGGAAGGCAACAATTAAGCTGTAAACTATACGGAAGTTCCAAAGTCGTTGATTCTTACTCACAAAGTCACAGTCCTGATTCGACTCTGCGGTCCAGCACAGCAGTTTTGACAAGGGCTGGCTTGCTAGCCTCGTCGTTGAAGTCCTTCCTTGCACCGTGTGATGTTCAAAGCCCCCAGTCGCTCCTCGCTGGCCTTGTTTTTCCGTTCGGTCGTCAAATATTCCCGTGTGATTAACACATCACACACGCACACAGACACCGTTGTTCGCCGCGGAAGCTATACAAGATGAAAAGGTCGTTACTGCTCCTTGAACACGACGAGGTCACCACTGTTTGCCGGACTAGGAAATGACGAGGGCATCATATTTTTAACTAAAATCTTATAAAAATAAAAAAATGAAATAATAAACACATAAGAAACAAAAACAAAAGGACTAAATCATGAATAAAAATGAAATAATGAACACAGAAGTAAAAAGAATAAAAACACGAAGGACTTACACAGACAGCAACATATGTTCAGTTAACAACGACGTTTAATTATGAGAAAAAATATTCTTGCTGCACTAAAGATCACCAATATGGTGTGTAAACTAGGCCACCTTGAGCAAAGCAGGAATATTTGTGATCATAATCAAATGTCAGTGCGAACTCAGAAAGTGTGGCTGCCTGCGTAAGTCCTTCGTATTACTATTCTTCTGAATTCCGTGTTCATTATTGTGGCTGTTTGGGACCAGGCGGAACTTCGTGGTGCTTTTTCCATTCTGACCTTACTTCCGACAGCTTCGTACCCATAGAAAAACCCACTAGCTTCTCTACATAATCCCACTCCTTCTAAAAAAAGAAATAAAAAATTGAGTGTATGTTTATACAGCCGGAAGTTAGCTTGCCTCAGTGGGCGTCTGCTGTCTCAGCTGTAGAGTAATTTAGCCAGCGCGGTACAACCGCTAGCCTGGGGTCTTTAACGCGCACCACGCAGTAGTGATACACAACCGCACGCCGGTACGATGTTCATCCAGATCGAAATGGGCAGGGCGGGGATGCACTCCGTCTCCTTGCTTCCCTTGAGGCACTGACAAATAAAAATCAAAGGTTGGTCAATTATGTTAACGCAATACACTTCAAAGTCGTAGCATGAGTGCTGGCAAGATAATTGCTGCCTTCAATGTAGATAAGCTTGTAAATTTACATGCTAAATAACAAGTAACTTAAAAGCTGAATTATATTTCGATGCAACTACAAAAAAGAAGACTAGCTCTCCAAATATAGCGCTATCTAGTACACCATAATTGAGTAGAATCGGATTACAGCGTCCCCCTTATAAAGACTGGAGCAAAACAAGTATAGACTCTGCCGTGCCACTACAACAGAAACATTTGTATTGTGATCTCGTGGAGATCAGAGTTCGGAAAAAAAGCGTTTCTGGCGGTGTGAAATTCGTTACACGTGCGTTGGATCATACGAAACACGTGTACAGCAAATGATCTTTGGAGCTCGACATTTCGCGAGGAATAAATGCCAGCGTCAAAAATTATTTCGCAGGCACAAATTTTTGCGATCGGAAGTGGTATGCTCTGCATTAATCACCATGGGGTAAATTCATCGCGGCACCAATTTTTGGCAATTTTTTTTCTGGGTACGAACTGCGAAAATGAAGGTGTCTGCAGACGACTGGGGCGGCGAAAGCTAAGAACTTGCTCGATCAATTAATCGCTGTTTTTGTCGGGTCCAGCTCTCAGCACGCAAGTACGGAGAGTGGCGTCGGCGATAGAGGGGCACCGCGCTCTTCCAAACATTGTAGCTTACCAGTAAACAATACGGCACAGGGAGGAAATCAACCCCCACCCTCCTCTTCCGCCTTTGCCGCCCCCCCCCCCCCCCCCCCCCACCTCTCAATCCGTCTCCCAAGGAGTTCCGCCGCAACTGATCGACCTTAAGCGAGTAGACGGCCTCTCCATCGGGGAAAAAAGAAAAACAGCCTCGCATAACACCATTCGCGCACAGTTAGTAATACTGGTAAAAGCAAGCGATCTTAAGACAATAACAAGCCATTTGAAAGCAGGAAATAATCTAGCCCCAAACGAACAAAACACGAACTTACTTCGATCCCGTTCCATGATCTTGGCTGTTGAGCAGATTTGACGTAGTTCCACGTCCCACAGTCGCTTCCGTCTTTGTCGGACACGTTTGAAACTAAGGCAAACTCCACGCATCACCACTAATCGGGTAATTGGACCGTTAGCCGGCCGTCAACACAGGCATTCAAACGCACACGGCCGGCAAAACGTGCGAAACATAGGCCGTTGCTTCGATAAGATTGGAGTCGTATGCTAAAGTTGAGGCTTGGGCGAGTTGGTACATACTTCAGAAATTAAACACAGCGCTACGTCCGTGTCACTTCTTTGTCTGGTCCTCGTCTTTCCGCGCTGTTTTTAATTTCTGGAGGTGGAGTCGTATCTTCAATACGTTTGAAATAAAACGATCAGCAAACCGCATTATAAAACTCATTAAATACACACCAATAATAAATTATTGCGCACATCAATTTCGCTACAATATTATGAATAAGTCCTGAACATGTTGCAAAATAATAAATACGAAACTAAGCCTGCAATGATGAAAACCGTAAACAACAATTTAGACGACATTTAACCTTTTAAAAAGAGAGCCAAAGAGAGCGAAGGTCATCCGGGCGGCTGTAGCGTAGCCTCATTCTGTTGCCGGCGCTCGCAGCGATCGGTCGATAGGATGGCGAACTCCGACGGAGCGATGATAACGGCCGTTGCCGGCCGCGGTATCTCGTCTGCTGATGATTATAAGATGCTTCTGCCTTCTCTGCCTTCTGAAGCAGCCACTGTGAATTCTGTTTTTCTACACTGCGACGTAACCGGCCGTCCGTACCGAATTGAGGACTTTCGAGAAGAACTGCAACGACTGCAAATCCTCGGCGACGTGGCGTCTTTTGGCGCCTATCAAATGAACCACGTGTGGCTCGTCACCTTCCACTCTGCGTCAACGAGGAACCGGCTGCTCGCCGCCAAGGAACTGACTGTCAAAGGCAAGCGATGTATCCTCATAGACCCGAAGAACTCGGAAACCTGTCTGAAACTTCACTGGGTGCCTTATCACGTCCCCGACGACACAGTTCGACGAGCACTGGAGCCATATGGCAAAGTACACGAAGTAACCCGTGAGACGTGGAGAGCCCAAGGTTTTCAAGGAGTCCAGTCAACAACAAGGCTTGTTCGGATCACTCTCAAGGAAGGCGTCAGTAAAGAAAGCGTCCCGCATCAACTGCGTTTCTTCGGCGGCTCTGCACTCGTCCTAGTGCCCGGACGAGCCCCGCTCTGCCTTCGGTGTAAGAAGACCGGCCACATCCGAAAGGACTGCCGCGTCCCCCGTTGTGACGATTGCCACCGCTACGGCCACACAAGGGAAAACTGCGTCAAATCTTACGCAGTGGCAACGGCTGGACCACTTCCGGACGAGAACACCGACCTTATTATGGACGAAGCGGAAGCCGAGCTAGCTGCCAGTGCGAACGCCACCGTAAGGACGCTTCCTGCGGCCCCGAGGATTGCCGAAATGCCGACGTCTGAAACCAGGGAACCTACTCCACAGGTCGAGCTCCCCTCGGACGCTCCCTCTGGGGAACCACAACAAGGTGGCATGGAAGCGCCTGTTACAACGCCGGAGAAAGAGTCGCAACTTACAGCCAAGATACCAGATCCAGATGGTGGGTTCTCTGACAGCGAAATGCGGGACGAAGCCATGGTAGCGGGAGCCGCTACACCAACCAAGCGACCGCACGAGCAAGACCGAAGCCCTGGGGCAGAGGACGGTATGCCGACCCAACAGCGTTCGAAACTGGTCACGCCGTGTCGCGGACGGCGCAAGCCGCCCACGCTCCGTGCGGCTCTGGACAACCGCCTCGAGACGGACTCTTAGCACGGAACCTGGCACGAACCTCCTACCGCGGCTCGTAGTGAGTGCTTCTCCTTGCTAGTTCGAGCGCGTCAGTATAGGGTTTTAGGTTCCTACCTCTTTCTTAGCTAACAAATGAAAAAAACGGTTTAATGTATTAACCCTAAACTGCATCAGACTAATTGTGCGGAAGAGAAAACAATGGGTACTCAACGAACTACTGAAAAGGGATGCCGATATTGTGTTCTTACAGGAGACGAAGCTCGCCTCCGACTTACAGGTACAAGAAATGGCTTTGTTTTTTGAGAGACACTTCAGTCTTTTCCATTCTAACGCTGTCGCGCACAGCGGGGGAGCGGCTCTTCTCATTCGAAAAGATAAAGCTTTCACGCTACTTCCCGAGTGGGAAAGTGATAAGAGTGGAAGGATCTGTGCAGTAGATATGCTGTTTCACGGTGATATCTTTAAGCTTGTTTGTGTGCACGCACCAAATGCGCCAGCCGACCGCAAATCGTTTTTTATCAATCTACGGGAATACTTAGATACGCCTGCAAAGGCGATACTGGCGGGAGATTTCAATTGTGTTTTAAAGGCACGAGATTGCTCCAACGGGCTAAAATCGGACTCCAGTGTCGTAGAGTTGAATAAACTACTGCGGGATTTCGATCTTCAAGATGTGACAGAGGTGGTGGCAGCACCGGGTCTAGTATATACCCATTGGCAGGGCACTTGTCACGCCCGTCTCGATCGAGTGTACGCTTCAAGTGAATGCGTGGCGACTGCTGACGCATACTCGGTTACCCCTGTGGCCTTCTCCGACCACGCAGTCGTTTCGGTCTGTTTAGGAAGAGCAAAGCGTAAGGAAAAAAGAGCCTCGAGCTGGAGCTCCTGGAAAATGAATGAAAGCCTTTTAGAGGATGAAACTTTAATTAAGCAAATTAAGGACGTCATCCGGAATACAAGCGAAGTAGGCGCGGTAGATGCCGTCAGCTGGGAATTGCTCAAAGAAGTAAAGTTAATTACTTTCCGGTTCAGCCAAGAAAAGGCTGCACGAGCGCGAGCAGAGAAACGCTCCCTAGAAAATACTCTGCGAATCTTAGTTCGTGAAGAAAACCATACTCCAGGAGTATTCGCGGAAGACATTCGCGAATGCAAATCGAAGCTGCTCTCGCTTCTAGAGAAGGAGTACCAGGGAGCGATGGTGCGATGTAGGCTGCAAGCGCTACAGCTCGAAGAAAGACCGGTTAAAATCTTCAAAACTAAAGAACGTTTGCACGTACGCCGCAACCAAATCACATCGCTACGAACTGGAGATGAGATTGTGTCGGAGCAAGAGCGAATAGAAAAAGAATTGGTCGCCACGTTCACAAAACTACTGGGAGGGCAAAAATATGGAAGTGGAACCTGTCTCGAGGAATTCTTGGAAGTTATGCCTGAAATTCCTTCAGAGATCTCGGAAAGAATAAACAGTGAAATTACGGAAAAAAAATTGAAGAGTCGATTAAAACTCTTAAAGTCAGGAAGTCACCCGGAATTGACGGCCTAGGATCACTGTTTTATAAAAAGTTCACGAATCTGCTAGTCCCGCTGCTTCGGGCCGTCTATCAAGACATTTTAAAACGCAATTTGCTGCCACCGTCGATGCGACAAGCATTGACTGTGCTTATCCCGAAGAAAAACACTGCCTCCAGTGTCACTACTGTAGACAACCTAAGACCAATCAGTCTACTGACCACAGACTACAAAATTCTGGCGAAAATTCTTACCAAACGTCTGGAGGTGGGATTAAGCGGCATCGTAGGAGAGCACCAGCCCTACGGATTTAAAGGCAGATCCATCACTACAAACGCGCACACAATGAGAATCATATGTGAGACAGCGGAGGCGGAACAGTACCCAATTGGAGTACTGCAAGTAGACCTCAGCAAAGCGTTTGACAGAGTGTCACACTCCTTTCTTTTTGCGCTTCTTGAACGATGCCGCCTAGGAGAAAGGCTAACGAAGTACATAAAAATTTGCTCCAAAGACATCACAACCCGGCTGTTAGTGAACGGACAACAAACTGCCCCGATAGAGGTCAAATCGTCAGTTCGGCAGGGATGCCCGATGTCGCCTTTGTTATTTGCTCTATATTTGGAACCTCTGTGTAGATCAATCATGACCGATGTCAATATTTGTGGTGTTAATCTAGGTTCCGAGCCGACCAAAATATTAGCCTACGCAGACGACGTCGCTTTGATCTGTTCGTCGAAGCTAGAGCTGGAACTGGCTTTGAATCATATAAAGGACTTCTGCAAACTATCAGGAGCAGCCATGAACACCTCTAAATCGACCGGATCCTGGCTTGGCCCGTGGACGTTCAAACCAGAGGAATATATGGGAATAAAGTGGTCTTGCTCACTCGATAATTACCTCGGTATTGGACTGGCGACGGAATCCTTGAGCACTGGCCATGAAGGTATCCATTTAAACAAGGTTAACGGCAAAATGAACGAATGGTATGGAAGACATCTCTCTCTTTTTAACAGAACGTTTGTCTGTAATTCTGTCTTTTTCTCGAGTGTATGGTACGCGGCACAAATTATACCATCCCGGCAAGGAGAGATCCATAAATTCCACAGACTTTGTGCCACGTTCATCTGGCAATCTTTATTTGAACGAATGCGTAGAACCAATTTGTTTCTGAGCCTGTTCAAAGGCGGTTTGGGGCTTGTGAACCTAGAGTTAAAAATAAAAGTTCAACGCTTTCTGTTTTTCCGGGACCAGATTAATCCGGTGTCAACACGAGCGCTAAAACGTCTAACGGGACGGTACTTGCCCTCCTGGATAGTAAGTACGGAAGAAGCCTCAATGAAAGCACCAGTACTCAGATTTTATAAAGAAATTAATGATGCGATCCACTTCTTCCACGCCAGGTTTTCCTGGGACTACCTAATCCAAGTGAACAGAAAAAGGCTGTATTGGGATACTGTTGACTTAGTCATTCCACCTCCAATGTACCGCCCCCCACCGGGAAATTCAGAAGGATCGAGTGTATTCAAAAGATTGCGTAAATTCCCTGTAAAAACAAGCATCAAAGACTTCTTCGTAAAATTTCATGTAGAAGTGCTGCCTGTTAAAACATGGCTTGAGAGAAAAGGGTTCTTTGTAGCATGGTCGACCAATTGTGCACTGTGTCCTTTCCCGGAGACTTTGCAACACGTTTTTCTGCTCTGTACTAATGCGGAAATATTCTGGTCTGAACTTCGAAATGCTTTTAACATCAGTGCACAGTTGAACTGGGAGAACTTGAAATATCTTCAAGTGGAGACGGGTGAAAATAAAAAATGCACAGAAGTGCTATTGCTGCTCGGGTTGCACGCCATCTGGAGATCTCGAACGGACCACACGCTGGTGTTAGAAAAGGGCAAACCTGCTTGGCACCACTTTGTTGACAACTTTGCATACACCAGTAGCCTCCTGGAACACACTGAAATGCCGGGTTTTGAGTCATGGCCAGCGATGCAAGTCGCTTTAAGAAACTATATGGTAAAAAGAGGAACATTTAAGCACTAGACATTGTATAATGTTCAAACCTCTATGTGAATGTACCGGGTTATGCATATGTAATAACGTCTCATTTTGTGCGAGTGCTCTTTGGCCAAGGTGGCCCTCTGTAATGCTTTTAATATGTAAATAAACACATTTTACAAAAAAAAAAAAAAAAGGGCGGCTGTAGCGTAGTGTGTTAACGCTCTGGTTCGCTGAGCTTGTGGTCGTTGGTTAGAATCGCCGTAAGTGGTATTTGTTTTCTTTTAATTATAATGCAATTAAATGCAAAGGGGCAAGCGAGCTGGACAATAATGATGAAAATAATAAAAAATAATAAATAAAATAATAAATAAAATAATGATGAAAATAAAATAATAACTTTTTTTTTATTTTGAATGTTTTTTTTTACTTTTTTGTATTCGTTTTTATTCCTTTAAATATTTTTTCTCACTTTTTTTGTATTCGTTTTTATTTCTTAATTTTTTTATCACCTTTTTGTTTTATTTTGTTTTATATTGTTTTATTTTGTTTTATTTTGTTTCATTTTGTATTATTTTGTATTATTTTGTATTATTTCGTATTGTTTTAAATATTTTTTCTCACCTCTTTGTATTAGTTTTTATTTTAAATATTTTTCTCATCTTTTTGTATTACTTTTTATTATTTTAAATATTTTTCTCTCACCTTTTTTAATTCGATTTTATTATTTTAAAAGTTTTCTCACTTCGTGTATTAGTTTTTATTATTTTAAATATTTTCTATGTTTATGCTGTCGTCGGCACCGTTCTTCAGGCTAACAATCACGCAGAAGGTGAAAATAAAAAGTGCGAGCCCACATTTGAATTGATGCAATTCAGAAACCCTGGTCCTCTTTTTTGCCGGGATGATTCGCTCCCTCCGTGCTAATAGGTGGGTCAGTGTAGTAGGCAAACAGCGCAAGTCCTTTCAACGAAGAAATGAAATTAATAAGAATGGGTACATTTAGAGCAAAATGGGAAAATGTAAGTGGTAAAACTGCCGCAGTGATGAAGCCAAAGTTTGTCATGGAAGCGGTCATCTTCACCCACTATTGAAACAAAAATACCGACATTTTAAGGCAGTAATTTAGTTGAGCTCATAGCTCATGAGCACATCTCTTAATTTTCTGACTTGCGGAAAGTAGTATTTAATTTTGTCCTGGTAGATCAGCGCTATCCCTCGCTTGCCGCCAGGTCTTACTTATACAGGTTGCGCTCCGCAGTTTTACTTATTGTATAGGCCTAAACACTTTTTTATTCCTGAAATTCAAGTACAGCGCGGATAATTAAACTAGCTTTCAGAAATGCTGTCGTTCGGCATTGTGACATTTATTTTTCGTAGTGTCATTCACAAACCCAGCAGTGTGTACATCCACGACGCATTGGTGTTTCTCGCTTTTTTGAGTAAAGAAAAAAAGTTTTTATATTCGCGTTCCTCTGGTACGGTACGTCGTGTAACATAAGCTATTAAAGAGATACATATCGTTTGGCTATGTGAACATTTAAAATATTTCTCTTAGATGATCGTAACTACCACAGAAAACAGTCGATTCCTGCCTGAAATAGCATATTTTCACACAAGATTAAAATCACCAATAAAATGATCTCTCAGGAGATTTATGTACCTCTCGTAGCGGCATAAGCAATAAACACATCTCTTACTTTTCTAGTTTCTGGAAAGTAATGTTTATTATTGTTTTTGTAGTTCAAAGCGCGTGCTCAATCATGCCACGTCTTTTTTCTTTTTTCATTCGAGGCTCCGCTATACCGTTTTTATTTTTTTATCAGTGCCAAACACGTGCGTATAACGCCAGACCTTAAGTATAGTACATCAAATTAAACTAACTTTCTGAAAAAAAGTATCGTTCGGCGTTGTAAATTTTAATTTTCGTGGCGTAAGGGGTCAGATTCTCAAATCCTGGACTGGAAATATTCCTCACGGCATTGTTTTTTTGTTGTTTTTTACGCGTTTTCGCGATAAAACACGTCAGCCTTTTCAAATACGCCAGCGTCTGCAGTCATTTACGAAAGATTGATCAACGCAAACATTTCCACTCGCTACATATGAATCGCCGCAGTTCGTCAGAATCTCAATGACGTGACTGCATAGTTTTTTAAAAAAGGCAAAAAAAAAATAGAACGATGCCGGTTAGTAAACGGAAGTTCCCGGGGCTCGCCAGCCTGCGAACAGCAAAGCGCCGATGCCGGCCAGTCACTGAACTTCTATGTAAATACTGCCCATCAAAAACAGCAAAATACCGATGCCGGCCAGTTACTGGAACCTCCATGGAAAGACTACTCAGCAAAGACAGCAAACACCCGATGCCGGCCAGTTCTACGGCTGGACTGGCCAGTGAGCAAGACGAAACCCCGACGCCGGCCGGGGCCGGTAGCTCCCCGGTGCCCATTGCCGGGTGCTGCAATCCTGTTACCATGGACCGGCCGGCGTAGTCCCGATACCGGCCGACGCGGAGTGCTACCTGCATCTACATGTTGACTGGCACCATATAGTGCCATATACAGGAGTATCAGGCGTCCTATACTGTTATATATGGCACGCACTGGCACCATATATGGCCTTATCTGGCAATATATGTCGTCATATATGGTGTCACCTTACCATATCTGCCCTAATTTCAGCCCTTGTATGGCAATATATGACCGTATATGTCTACTTATATGCCCATATACGGTCCTATATCAAATATATCTGGGTCATATATGACATTTCTGTAAGGGAAGAAACGAGGTAAATTGACCGTCATCAACAGCTGGCGGAACAGAAAACCTGATATTCATTTAGTCTGAAACGTGTCGCTAGTGACGATTTTGAGACAACACAGAAAGAAAAAAAAATGTGAGAGGTTTGATATTGGCGTTCACTGTATGTTTCATATTAACGTAATCCAGAATTTATCTGAACAAAAAACAATCACGAAAATAAAAAGTATTTTGTGAAGTGAAAGCTAATATACCCTTTGATGGCCAGTATTTACATGGAAGTTATGGTGCATATCAGTGACTGGCCGGCATCGGCGCTTTCCTGTTCAAACTGGCGAACCCCGTCATGGAAGATCCGTTTACTGACCGGCAAAGTTTTATTTTTTTGCCTTTTTCACTATGCAGTCAAGTCATTGAGATTCTGACAAACTGCGGCAATTCATGAATAGCGAGTGGAAATGTCTGCGTTGATCAATCCCTCCTATTCACTGCCGACGCTAGGGTATTTTATCCCACCATGGCAAGGCTGACGTGCTTTATCGCAAAAACGCAAGAAAAAACATAGCGGTGAAGAAAATTTGCTGCCCAGAATTTGAGAAGATAACCGCCTACGCCACGAAAAATAAATTCTACAACGGCGAGCATTATGTTTCTCAGGAAGCTAGTTTAATTTGAAAACAATACTTAAGGTCCGGTGGTATACGCACGTGTTCGGCTCTGATCAAAAAATTAAAACCGTATAACGGAGCCTAAAAATGAAAAAAAAAACCTGGCATGATTGAGCACGCGGTTTGAGTTACAAAAACAATAATAGACATTATTTTCCAGAGACTAGAAAAGTAAGAGATGTGTTTATTGCTTATGACGCTTAGAAATTGAGTGTTAAAATATGCTATTTCAGGCAGGAATCAACTGTTTTCTGTGTAGTTACGATTATCTAACAGAAATATTTCAAATGTTCCCATAGCCAAACGATATCTGTCTTTTTGATAGCTTATGTTATACGACATACCGTACCAGAGGAACACGAATTTCAAAACTTATTTTTTTAACGCAAAAAAGCGAGAAACACCTCTGCGTTGTGGATGTTCACACTGCCGGGTTTGTGAATGTGAACCCTTGACGCTACGAAAGATAATTGTTACAACGCCGAACGATACCATTTCCGAAAGCTAGTTTAATTATCCGTGCTGTACTTGAATCTCAGGAATAAAAACGTGTTTAGGCCTCATAAAAAAGTAAAACTGCGGCGCGCCACCTCCATAAATAAAACATGTCGGCACTCGGGGGATAGCACTGATCTACCAGAACAAATTAAATACTACTTTCCGGAAGTAAGAATATTAAGAGATGTGCATAATACGTAGCGCGCTATGAGCTCAGCTAAATTACTTCCTTAAAATGGCGGTATTTTTTATTCAATAGTGGGTGAAGATGGCCACTTTCAGAAAAACTTCTGCTGCATTCCTGTGGCAGTTTTACCACTTACGCCTTTTCCCAATTTGCTTGCAATATGCTCATTATTATTACATTGCTTTCTTCTTTGAAAGGACTTGTGCTGTTTGCCTATGGTTATGAATTATCCCGGCAAAGCAAGAGGGCTACGGTTTGTGCATTGCAACAATTCAAACTTAGGCTCGCACTTTTTATTTTCACCTTCTGCGTGATTATTACCCTAAGAATGGTACCAACGACTGCAAAAACATAGAAAATATTTAAAATAATAAAAACAAATACAGAAAAGAAAGAAAAAAGATTGAAAATAATAAAAAGTAATACAAAAGGCAAACAAATATTTAAAATAATAAAAATTAATACAAAAGGTAAAACAAATATTTAAAGAAATACAAACTAATACAAAAGGTAAAACAGATATTTAAAATAATACAAACTAATACAAAAACATAGAAAGAAAAGAGTGTTCACCGAGATTTGAACCAACGTCCGTAGGCTCAGCAAGAGAGCGCGTAGACAAACTGCGCTACAGCCGCCCGGTTAAACTGGCGTGATTTCTAGAAGCATACATGTTTGCTGAATTCGTTTCGAACCATTGTTCCGTTAGTTTCAGATTTGATATTTTGATACGTGTTCAGGACTTATTCAAAATAATATGGAAATAATAACGTGCGCAATAATTTATTATTACTGTGTGTTTTATGAGTTTTATAATGCGTTTTTTTTATTCTTTTATTTGAAACGTTTTGAAGATACGAGAACAATCTCAACGAATCAACAGCCTATGTTCCGCACGGTTTGCCGGCCGTGTTGGCCGTGTGCGTTTGAATGCCTGCGTTCACGACCGACTGACGGTTAAATTTCCCGATTAGTCATGATGCCTGGAGTATGCCTTAGTTTCAAACGTGTCCGAAAAAAGACGGAAGCGACTGTGAGAAGTGGAACTGCGTCAAATCAACCCAACAGCCAAGATCAT